CTGAATGAAGCAGGCATGAAAATCTTGAAAATTTTTGGAAACTCAACAAATCTAATTGTAATGGACCGACCTACCTCACCAGAAGGGCATACTTTACACAATATTTGGAATAAATGTGGTGCTATAACTTGGCAATAACATTTGAGAGGGGAGAAATTTGATCCGCCTAAGATCACAAGATTTGATCCACTTGGGAACACTTACATTGTGATTGAGTCTGGCTCATAAATGTGTAGCATGGTTAAAGCTTTTGATTCCGCGCAATACACAAAGTCGGCTGTGACCGATTATTATTGAATATGAGGATGCGATAATCTGTGGAGATGAGGATGTGCAGAACCGAGATTGTGTGAATGCAGGCAGAGGTATGTGAAAGTGAGGATGGAAGAGTGGTGCGTAGATGTTAGATTGGAGGAATGCGTGCGGGTATGCGCTGGTGGAGGATTTTGTGAATGCGTGGATGCGGAAATGTGTGAATAAACGGATGTAAAGTTGTGTAGATATCTGAGTTCTGGGATGGGAAAGTGTGGATTCGGAGACAGGTAAATGTGAGCTAGGATATCATGAGTCGAGGAATGTAAAAATGTGGGATATGTGAGGGTAGGGTGTGTGGGTGGGAGAATACGCGAATGTAAAGATGTAAATGGTGATACGACAAGGATATCTGGAGATGATGAGGAGATGCGTTAGTAGTATGGATGTTTATGAATGTGTGGATATGGGTTTTTGCTAATGTGTGAATGCCTGGGTACGGTAATTGAGGATGCGTAAATGGGATCTGCTAATGTGAGGATGTGCAAGTGTTGGGTAGTGTGAGTGAGGCGATGTGTGAGAACGCGAATGTGTGAGTGTGAGGACGTGTGGCTGTGAAAATGTGTGAGCGTGGAGATATATGGATGCGGGGATACGTGAATGGTAAATGAGAGCGTCAGATTACGGGGGTATGTGAATACTGAATTTTATGAGTGTGAGGATTGTGCAAACATTGACGTGAATGCAAGAATATACGAATGTGAGGGTGTGCAATTTCACAGTTGTGCAGATGAAGAAACGTGTGAATGCAGGATGTCTAAATGAGACTTGTAAATGGGTTGGTATGTGGTGGGTATGCGTGTGTATGAGGATGCTTGAGGGAAGGGATGTGGATATATGTGAATGTATGAATGCAGAAATGTATGTGACGATGTGCGAATGTGGGTTTGTGTTAGTGCAGGGATGTGTGAGTTTGGCAATGCGTGAAATCTTTTGCAAGTGCGGTGGTGTGCGAGTATGAAAGTGCGTGAGTGGAGAATGTGTGAGTGAGGTTGTATATGAGTTGAGTGATACACAGATGTGGTGTGTAAATGAGAACGTGTCAGTGCGGGGTCTGTGGAAACGTGGATCTATGGTAGCGAGGATATGGAGATCGGAAATGCGTGCGTGGATGTCAGAGCCCGTGGATGCAGGGATAAATTAGCAAGGAAGTGTGTGAGTGCGGGAACGTGAGCATTCGTTGAATGTATGCGTGAGTGTGGAAATTCTGTATGTGTTCAAGGAGTGGACTGACAAACACATTCACACATCTCCGTATTCACGCATCGCCTCACATATAACCTCACTTACACATTTCTTAATTCATGCACTCCCGCACCCACATGTTCCCAAGCTCATGCATCCCCGCACTTCTGCACTCACACGCCGCGAACTCATGCACTCCCACACCTACACATCGCATATTCCCACATTCTCACACCTACTTACACACAACCTCACACATTTCCCCATTCACACATCCTCGCTCCCACATATTCACGTTTTCACACACCCCGCATTCCCGCGTTCACCTCAGTTCTTCAATGCATAAAAACTGACGTCATTCCCCATTTATGGTTTCTTCATGCAATATGCATACTTTCATATTGCTCATACTAGATCTGCGTAATATTTTAAGAAGAAATCAATATTGCTCTTACGAATCATAAATATCATAAAAACATCTGCTTAAAATGATCTCATGACTTCCATTCAATGATATGATCCTAAGACGAGTTGTCTATCCCGACAACTTCATGATCAAGCGTGAAAAAGTGCTCATACATGTTTTGTAGGTTGCAATGTGTTCAATTGATACAGGATTAAAATGATGACATGATAAATTTTTACTACTTTGCTATGCTGACAAAATATGAAATTGAAGGTTTGCAGAATGTGTCGTCTTAAAGTGAAGTAGTCAAATTCGGCCGCAAGTTGTTAAACTTTGACTTAGTTTGGTAGATCAACTATGAAAGCAAACATTCACGCCTATGCTGCTCAGTTTCTTCAGCATACAATACAATGCCGTATAAATTTCTTACCAATTAACGTGTTTCACTAAACTTTATTTTTACTTGCAAATTTTTTACCGAACATTTGCGAACCCTACTTTCATCAATATTTCCATTTTTCCATAACATTAATTCTAAAGATAGCATAGTTCTGGAAAAGATAATTCGTTTAAATTCTGATAAATTCGTGTTTGCATTAGCGAAGCATATCCTATAATGGAGGAATTTCAAGGACTGATTAAAGATTCTGCAGTTGGGAATTTTTTTGACGAATTTCAAAAACAGAAATCGTAAGCATCAGTGAATTTTTCAAAAGTCATGCTATCGTTAAGTAATGACATTTTCCAAAACTCTCACATTCACAATCACTCACATAATAAATGTTACGCGAAGCTGACATATTGTCACTGTTTACACTATTCTATTGCAAGCTACAATTGAAATCAATACGTCCAGCTCCACAATTACGTAACAAAAAACTAAAAATTAACCTATCTCAAAGGTTCTTAACAAAACTACAGAAATCTGCTAAAATCAGTTTGCTTGTACAAACACTGAAGCGGAGACATGTAAGTTTAGGACCCACATTCTATTTCCGATTCCGAACAAGCCACTTACTTGCAAGCAGGGATAAAGTACAGTAATTTCGCAACTTGGCTATCTGTCCACAACTTTTCAGACAAGCACACTTTAGCTTAACTAGACTTGCATATACGAAATTGTCTTCTCGGGTATAAGTATCGTGATGTATCCTTCACGTTAAAGTAATAGTAATTCCTTCGTAAGTGTTAGTTCAGTTTGATGTGCTAATTGAGAATGCCTTCGCAAGTGGGCACAGATGTTTCTACACTTATTTCCTACACTTATAGTCCAACACCTTCCCCTACTCGCCAGATTTTCTAGCGGAGCTTATATTTATAGAAAAATATGTGAGTATTTCACAGTCTCGAGTTGACGTAGTTCTGCAGTTCAGCCTGCAGCCAACAAGAGATATTGCGAGCAGAACGCTTATGTTTGCTTACAATACAGAAGTCTGTCTGAGTGCTAAGAGCACAGTTGCAAAGCAACTGAACTTTCTGAAAGGAATCAAGCAACTTCTTCAATTTCAGGCAGAAACGCTTTGGTGTTACTGTCGTCTCCCTCACTCACTGCTTAAATGAGATGGCAGAGAGCTGTCTAGACAGACGAATGAATCAACCAATCAGAAATGAGGGACAGCTCTGCTGGCGTGCTGGC